TTAACCTGAACACGACAAAGAACTATTGTATGAGTTTATGCTGGTGAATTACATAATTAAGTTATTATTTTTAAAAGAACACTCTGATGGCAAAAAGGCAGATAAAAATTGGAGTAGAAATATGCCATTTAAAAATTATTTTTAAATTTCAATGTATATTTATATTTATGAATCTATACCCATTTGTCCTAGATTTTAGCTTATTATTATTAAATATCTGATCTTATTTTTAGTATGAATTTTATGGGAAATACATGGTGTTGAATAATGCTATCTTTTTTTAGCTTATCCTTAGCTGATTCATGTATACAGATTCTCATATTAAAACACAAACTGACTCAAGATACTCATTTTTTTATAATAACCATCAGTCTGGAGTAGTTTATTTTTTTTTTTCAGTATTTTATGACACAATTATCTTGTTTGGAATCCATTTAATTCTAATGTTTACACTTAGCTGTTATTTGAACCCCATAAGAAAAGTTCATTCTTTATCTCTGAATCTATGTTTCATTTTACTATTGTTGGGTATGGGAAAAATTCACCAACATAACATCATTGGGCCAAAAATCTGCTCATGAAACAATGTCACTAGAACTATCAGCTGAAGCACAAGTAGTAATTTCCATATTCTATTCTTATTGAATGTTTCTTAGTCATAATTTACAATATTAAATTGCATTTAGCCAATTACTGATAAAATGCTGATGAACTTTAGAACTTCAGGCCTCTAGATAGAAATTTCGTTTTTTAACTTCTAAAGACAATGTTAGTTGGATGATGATTTTCAACCTCCATAGACATTCACGTCAAAAATGTCATTTTTTTTTTCTGCTAGCAAAATGCCTAGAAGTTAAAAATAATAATAATATTTTTTTCAAAATCAAGTGCTCTTATAGGTCAAAACTCAGCAAGAATTAAGATGCATTTATTTCCACGGTTGTCTCCGGATTTCAAATTTCATGAAGACAGAAGCCATGTCTTATAGCCAGTGTACCCTCAGTACTTAGTCTAGAGCTTGACATGTCATGAATTTGATAATAATTATTTTAGATATAGTTGACTTTAATTGTTTTGATGTGTTTTTGGAATTTATTATTTAGACTGTAGTCTTGTATTTATTTTCTATGCAGTACCCACTGGCTGATTAGTACGTAAGATTTAATAGTCACATATATAGCATGACAGTATACAGCTAGACAAATAGGTGTTTGCCATATATCAATCAGTTTTATCAAAGAAATACCAGGCATTGTTTTACCAAACTCTTTCTTTGTTTTCCTAGAATTCAAATTACTAGACAGCTCACTTGAATCTCTTAAATGTTTATAATTATTGCAAAGGGGCATAGACAAGCTCTATAAATCAGGTTTCCAAGGTAGAAACACAAGCTACTTTAACTTGTTTTAAACAAGGAGAATTTTTATTTAGCAATTCGTGTGCTTCCAAAAGCTTTGGAAGGAGCAGATTCAAGGCTGTACTCCTGTGGAGACTCGCAGAGACATATAGAGCTGGTTCCCTAGGGGCTGTCACTGGAGCTCTGCTGCCCTGCAAATGGGCACCAAATACTGCTGCAGAAAAGTGTCTTGTTTTCAAGATCTTACATGCCAGCAACAAGAGCCAGGAACAGCCAGAATTTAGTGTCTGTCTTCCACCTGCCCTCCAAAATGTGTCCTAAGTGCTTCTAATCGGATGGAACTCAATTGCATTTAAAATGATAGTTGCAGAGGAATTTTAGAAATGTAGATGTTTGCTTTAAAACCTCTCCAAGCAAAAAAAAAAAAAAAAAAAAAAAAAGGATAGGAGTTCCAGTTCAGAAATATATATTAAAATTAATTCCTTGTGTAAATAAAGTACTTTCACTCACTAACTGTGGGGAGGGGAAGGGTTACAGTAGAAGCAATTAGTGGAAAAGCGAAAACAGAGTATGAATTTAGAGGACTTGGGTATAATTTTAGCTCTGATACTTGTGAACATGAGCAAGTCATGTGCCTTCTCTGAGCCTCCATTACCACATTTTATAACATCCAGTTCTCCTCGTAGAACTATTATGAGGATCGCATTAGGCATGAATTTGAAAATACTTCATAAATATGAGGTATTAAGCAATTACAAGGAAATATGATCAGTAGGAATGATGAAAGAAAAATTAAATGACATCATTTCAATTGCCAGTTAGAGCTTTAGTGCTAAATACATTTTATTTAATTCTAATTTTTGAAAATGGTGATTTTTTGAATATAGTCTGTAAATTAGCACAATACCTCATTTCCTAACAAACTGGGATTTAATGTAACTAGAAAAATTAGATCAAGTCAAACTCCCCTGAAAATATTTGTAGTGTCATGTCATATTATACTATAATAGAATTTCTAGATCCTGTAATATACATTGTTCTAAAATAATAAAAGCCATATTTGAATTTATTTGCTAATTCCATTATGTATGTGTCTATTTTTATAGTTTCAAGTGCTTCCTATATTTATATTGGAAAGACTTTCAAATTTTGTTATTTTTTCAATCTTGTGGAGATATGATGCTTAGTTCATTTTTTCATTGGCCAAGTCCCTATGAAGTGGATTTTAAGCTCTGGACAGTAAAGAATGAAGGTTTCTAGTTCACTAAGCCCCCTCATATCAGGAAAAGCATTACTAGGGAATTACTTTTCACATTGTGTTATCATTTAGATTGAAAAAGTATAAACTCATAATTATTTAGTGTGATTTACTATTTTGATTGAGCTCCAGTTGCCAGTGTGATAAGATGACCTTATGAACAGTATAACATTGAACCCCCAGAAATCAATAAATATAATAAAATCTTTTTACTGCCCCTTCCTTCCTACTCACCAAATCAATTGCTTTTTACCTCCTGGTTTTTTATGAAAGTTCTACAGTTCATTTTACTACCTGTCAAAAGTGAAACGTCTTTTTTTTTTTCCCTAAAGAGGTATACTTGATTGATATTTTGATTCCCTTCACTGATTTTATTTTTTATCTCTTTGTCTTCAGGACACTCACATACTTATCTAGCATTCTAGGTCCCAAATTCGGAATAAAACATTATACAGTGATAGAAAATGAGGACTAACAAAGTGATTAGTAAAGACTATTAGGATTCCTACACCGTTGATTTGTCATTCTTCAAATTATGGGAGAAGATGTTTATAAAACCTCAGAAAGAATCACTTGACAGAGTAATAGGAGGCAACCTTTACAGGCAACTCTTTTTACCCCAGATTTCTCTCATTAGCAAGTTTGTCTCTATCTTATACCCAAAACATTCACTCACTTGCAATGACTTGTCTCCTGGATGGCTGCTTTCTCATCCTCAGAATACTTACTGACCATTCACTGGGTGGCATGGAACAAACCAGAGACAGCTAAGGGTTTTCCCAGTACATGTCCCCCACTCATGTGTCAGGATAATAGCACTTGCCTGCCCCCTCTGGTAGTTTCCACGTACTTTTGTTACTGGAGTTTTCCAAGCTTGCCTTGTATTGAAAACACAAGCTCTTAGAAGAAGTATTTTTCTTCTGCACACAACAAGAAATGAATTTTCCCTAGTGGCTAGCAAAAGACATCAGCTCATTTTACAGCATTGATTTCATAATTCAGTCTTTCTTCAGAGTCATTTATTGTAATAGATGTTAGAAAACATATAGTCTTGGTGAAAGAGAGGTGAATTTAGCTATACAATGAGGGTCTTTCAATGAGAGGAAGAATGATGGAAGCTTGCAAAATATTTGGAGCATATGACTTAGACATTGTAGATATGTGAACCATTCACTGCTTACTTGTTATACCAGACTGAATTCTTTTCCTATGCTGTGTACCATGTAATAGAAAAAATAAATGGCAATTGTCAAGTCAACACTTTTGTGTTCTGTTTATTGATTCAATCAGCTTTTGTATATGACTGTACATTGTCATTTATTACCTCAATTGATGAGATTCAGTCCTACAAGGAGCCTTTATAAAGTAGATAAGCATTTAAAGAAAGATATAAAGAAGCAGAAATTAGAAAACTGCAGAACTATTTCAAGTACCTAGCAATATAATACCATTCTTTTACAATTTTTTATACCCTAGTTTTAAATTTATACCTGTTTTCCTTTAGAGTTGACAGTTTACCCAAGGTAAGCATCTCATAGTAAAGCATATGTTTCATAAAAATAAATTGAGTTGTTAAAGTTCAAAACCGCAGGGGAGAATCTTAACCTTTCCCTTTCCTTTACCCTCTGTATCCCAAACATCACTGGATCCTGATGACATTAATTCCTTGCCTTTTAATCCAACCACCAATAACCTTGTTTAGTTACCCATCTTCACCTACTCTGAACCACAGAAATCACTTCCTAATGCACAACTTTGATTTATTTCCTCCCCATTTACAGTTCGTCTTAACATGTTGTCACTAGATCTGTCTTCTTAAAACATAGAGCAGATATTGTCCTTCCATTCTCAGATAGCTTCCTTGTCTACACTATTTAAATAGAATCAATCCCAAATACCTCAGTTTAACTGTATACACTCACCACTTTATGGATCATACTTACATTTCTGGTTTTCTTCAACATCACAGACACACACACACACACACACACACACACACTCTCTCTCTCTCTCTCTCTCTCTCACACACACACACACACACACACACATTTTGCTCTTCCATCTTCCATCTTCGGACATTTGTTCAAGTGACAATTTTTTTTCCCCCATGTCTATCCAAGTTCACTTCCTATCTTCCTCCAACACTTTCTGAATTCAAAATTCAGAATTAATCTCACCCACACACCACATGCCCAAAGTAATTACTATACTTATTATGCATACCAACAGACCTGTATAAGATTAAAAACTCCATCATGCTAGTTTTTATTTATTTATCATACTTAGTGTAGAATTCAGTGTAGCCTAAATAAATGTTTGTGAAAACAATTTTAATTGGATTAATTGACCATAGTCCTTCATGATGTTGTTCTGGCTTTCTTTTAGGAACATGGAATACCAATCAACATGGGTTATGCTGTGGCCCCTCATCACTCAGGGGTCTACCCCGTTCATATTCAGCTGTATGCAGCTTGGAAGAAGGTCTGGGGTATTCAGGTCACCAGCACTGAAGAGTATCCACATTTGAAACCTGCACGGTACAGAAGGGGCTTCATTCACAACAGCATCATGGTGAGCACTTACTGCTATGTGTATTGAAGGCTCTTAATATCTACATGTAGAATAAAGACAGATCACCATTACCTTAAGAATGCAACTTCAAACCTCTTTCGCATGAGTATCACAAATTCCCAACATGCCATGTGGTGACTGGCTACACGTTAACACATTGTTTGGCTATAGGCTTGCTTCCTAAGCTGTGGGGTGGTTTTGCTGAGTCTGAGACAAGCTGAAAATAATGGGAATTAGTTTTGTAGACCACTGCAGTTTTGAGATTGAAATTTTTTCTGGGATCCTATACTTCTGGGTAATTTCTCAGTATCTATTTGTTTGGGTGGTGTTATTGAGAGTTTTATAGGCAGAGTGTGGTTCCATGGCTCAAGAAAACAGCTCTCAAATCACCACACTATCAACAGCTACAAACAAATACCATCTGAAAGCTAAATTTATTCACTCAGTTTATTATGGCTTTTAGACACTCAAGAGTATCTTAGGACACTACTCTTTTTCTTCCACTTTTCCTTGAATACTCCAAAATAGAAGGGGTCTGGTTTTTTTTCAGATACATTAACTGAAAAAATAACAATCTGACTATTAAGAATAATGTATCAGTTTCTATAAGTGATAATGAAACCACATGAATTTTAATGGAAATATACAAATATTCATTGAAATATAAAATGGCATTATTTACTTTGAGATGAAATAGACTATTTTAAAATGTCCATCTCCACTTCCAGTGCCTAGGATCATGTTCTCATCTCTAATTGCCAAGATCAGAGCAAGGGTTCACAAACCATTCTCTCTCCTTTAAATATTTACACCTTTCCAGTCCATTATTCATATTGCTGTCAGAATTATCTACCATCTTCCTTCCTTCCTCCCTCCCTTCCGTTCCCTTCCTTTCTTTCTAACCACTATCTAAAACCAAAGAAAAAGCACATGTGCCTGACCAGAGCTGGCACTCAATATTAACTGCTCATGAAACTTATTATTCTATTGTAAATTGGTACCAAAAGACCTAAAGGAGCCTCAGATTTAAATAAAGTCATTGATAATGCAAATAGTGGTATTGATGTTCATAGAAATCCAGGAGATGTGAAAATAATTACTCATATAATTTCAAACCAGAGTGAAAAGTACTCAGTTTTCTCTTTATTACATTGCATGACCATTTGGCATATTATGAAATAAAACATTTATTTTAACGAATATTACATGTATTCATTTACCTTGAATTTAATACAAACTATTATTAAAGTTAAGCAAAGAATAAAGTTATAGCGACTCTGCAATTGGATCTGCTTTTCTATTAGATTATACATAGTTTATTATTTAAAATAAGTTTCTGGAATAAAATTACTTATTTGCTTTCTCTATTGAACATTCAGATTTACAACAGCATTAACTGCAAAATATGCCAGAAGCAATCATTAGATGGTTTGACTACTACTGTGATAAAATTTAAATTCAGAGTATAGTAAAAACAAAACAAACTTGGAGAAGGTGATAAAAACGGATTGTTTTCAACCGCAGAATCTGAGTACAATCCAAGACTGGATTTCAGAAGCAAGGAGAGTAATGGCCAAATAGCATGAAAAATATAACCTTGGAGAATCTCTATTTTTGAATTAAATTATCCCTAAGAAGATTTTGTTTGTTTGTTTGTTTGTTTTTGTTTTTGTTTTTTTGCCAATTCTTTAATGTAACTTAGGTAATGGGTTAGATTTATAGAACTGAATGAAAATTATTTAACCTATATGTCTTATAACTTTGATTTGGCAACTCCCTTAATATTTACATAATTACACAGACATATTGATTACAATAAGATTTTGGCCTTAGCAACCAAGGAACTCTGGTACAAAACGATAATTTGCAGACTCTGAGGTCATGAGATCATGGTGGAGTGATTAATTCAATCATGCCAATGTGCTCTTTTCCCCCTTTTCCTCAGGTCCTTCCTCGACAGACCTGTGGGTTGTTCACACACACCATTTTCTACAAAGAGTATCCAGGAGGACCCCAAGAATTGGATAAAAGCATCAGAGGAGGTGAACTTTTCCTCACAATTCTTCTAAACCCAGTACGTATCCTCTTTACACATTGTACAATATCAGTGTTTTCAATATGCATTTCATTTTTCTAAATTGCATTATCTTTATTTTCTTTATTAACGGAACATATTTACTGTTAGTAGATTTAAATCCACACTTCAAACCCTTTTCTTGATAAGATTTGACTTTTTGGGGACTAATTTTTTGGTAGATCTGATTAGAACATAGAGGTTTTTACTTTGTAATGTGGCTGATGAAAAGTTTGTTTCTAGCAGTAAAAGGTGTCAGTTCTTTCTTTTCAATTGTTTTCAAGCTGTTTCTTTTTTATTCCTCAGCTTTGTTAACATAATTGACAATTAAAAGTTATATATATCTATATATATTTATGCTTTACAACGTGTGTTTGGATATACACTGTGAAATGATTAAATCAAGCCTCACGTTCTCACTTTTTGTGATTAAAATATTTAACATCTACTCCCTTAGCATTTTTCAAGTATATGACATTAGTATGAACTATAGTTACCGTACTTATGCTAGACCTCCAGAATTCATTAATCCTATCTAACTGACACTTTGTACCCTTTGACCAACTTCTCCCCCTACCCTTGGAAACCACCATTCTACCACGAGTTCAACTTTTAGAATTCACGTGTAAGTAAGATCATGAAGTATTTCTCTTTCTTTGCCTGGCTTATTTCACTTAGCATAGTGTCCTTCAATGTCCTTCAATTTCATCTGTTGTTGCAAAGACAAAATTTCTTTCTTTTTTAAGGATGAATAGTATTTCATTGTGTGTGTGTGAGTGTGTGTGTGTGTTTAATAATAAATGTTCCTTTATTTGTTCAACTGTTGATAGACACTTTGGTTGATTATATATCTTGGTTACTGTGAATGATGCTGCAGTAAGCATGGCAGTGCAGATTTCTCTTTGACATTCTGATTTCATTTCCTTTGGATATATACCCAGTAGTGGGATTGCTGAATCATATGGTAGTTCTGTTTTTAGGAACCACCATAGTGTTTTCTATAATGACTATGGCAATTTTCATTCTTACCAACAGTGTACAAGTGTTCCCTTTTCTCTATATTCATGTCAACACATAATCTTTTGTATTTTTGATAATAGCCATTCTAACAGGGATGAGGTGATATCTCATTATCGCTTTAATTTGCATTTCCCTAATGATTAGTGATGTGAGCATTTTTTTCATATATCTGTTGGTCATTTGTATGTCTTTCTTTGAGAAAAGTCTTTTAAGGTTATTTGCCCATTTTTAGTTGGGTTATTTATTTTCTTATTGTTGAATTATTTGAGTTCCTCATATGTTTTGGGTATTAATCTCTTTTCAGATGTATAGTTTGCAAATATTTTCTCTCATTTCATATGTTGTTGCCTCACTGTCAATTGTTTCCTTTTCTGTGCAAACAATTTTTAGTCTAATGCAATCCCATTTGTCTATTTTTGCTTTTGTTGCCTGTGCTTTTTCATAAATGAAAAATCAGTGCATGGGCCAATTTCAAGAAATGTTTTTCCTATGTTTCCTTCTAGTAATTTTACAGTTTCATGACTTGTGCTTAAATCTTTAGTTTATTTCAAGTTAATTTTTGAATACTATGTGAGATATGGGTTCAATTTCCTTCTTCTGCATGTGGTTATACAGTTTTGCTCAAAGCCATTTATTGAAGAGACTGTCCTGTCCTTATTCTGTGTTCTTGCAAACATCATGAAAGATCAGTTGACTATAAATGCATGGTTTATTTCTGGGTTATCTATTCTGTATCATTGATCTATGTCACAAACAGTAACATGCTGTTTGGATGACTGTAGCTTTGTACTATATTTTGAAATCAGTTAGCATGATTTGTTCTTGCTGCTCAAGATTGCTTTAGCTATTCTGGGTCTTTTGTGGTTTTATACAAATATTAGGATTGTTTTTCTATCTCTGTGAAAACTTTCATTGGAATTTTGGTAGGGATTGCATTGAATCTGTAGATTGCTTTGAATAATATAGGCATTTTAACAGTATTAATTCTTCTTTAGGGTAGATGGCATAATTCTGTACCCGTTAGTCTACGCCTTCTATTTTCTTCTACTCCCCTCCCCTCCCAGCCTATAGTAATCATTATTCTACACTCTACATCTATGAGAACTGCTTTTTGTTTGTTTCTTTGTTTGTTTGTTTGTTTAGATTCCACATATGAGTGAGACCATGCAGTATTTGTCTTTCTGTGCCTGACTTACTTCACTTAACATGATGGTTTCCAGTTCCACTCATGTTGCTGCTAATGATAGGACATCATTTCTGGCTGGTTAGCTCAGTTGGTTAGAGCACACTGTTATAACACCAAGGTCAAGGGTTTGGATCCCTGTACCCAGTCAGCCACCAAATATATATATTTGCTTTCTATATATATCTTAGTAATATGTATATAGATCTTAAAGTAAAAACTTTCAGCTTTTCATTACTGAGTATAATATTAGCTATGGGCTTGTCATATATAGCCCTTATTATGTTGAGGTACATTCCTTCCAAACCTAACATATTGTGTTGAGGCACATTCCTTCCATACCTAATATATGAATTTTTATCATGAATGGTTGTTAAATTTTGTCAAATGCTTTTTCTGCCTCTATTGAGATGATCATATAATTTTTGTTCTTTTATTGATTGGCATATGTTAAACCATACTTGCATCCCAAGGATAAATCCCACTGGATTATGATATTTGACCTTTTTCATTTGCTGTTAAATTCAGTTTGCTTGTATTTTGTGGAAGATTTTTGTGTCTACGTTCATCAGAGATATTGGCCTGTAATTTTCTTTTCTTGTAGAGCCCCTATCTGCTTTTGGTATCGGGGTAGTGCTGGCCTCATAATATGAGTTTGGAATTATTCCTTACTCTTTAATTCTTTGGAATAGTTCGAGAAGAACTTGTATTAATTCTTCTTTAAATGTTGGTAGTTTTCACCGGTGAATCTATAAAGTCCTGAACTGTTCTTTGTTGGGAGACTTTTAATTATTGCTTTAATCTCCTTACTCATTACTGATCAGTTCAGATTTTATTTATTTATGGTTTAGTCTTAATAGGTTGTATATTTTCAGGAATTTGTTTATTTATTATTATTTTTTTCCCTTTTTTTTGTCTTTTTTCGTGACCGGCAACGGATCGCAACCCTCAGTGTTGCGCCCGTACCGGACCGGGACCGGCAACGGGATCGCAACCCTCGGTGTTACGCCCACACCTGGCTCAGCCAGTGAGCGGCCGGTCTGCATGTGGGATCCGAACCCTCGGCGGGAGCGCCGCCGCACTCCCAAGTGGCGCACTGTAGCAGTGCGCCACCGGGCCGGCCCAGGAATTTGTTTATTTCTTCTAGGATATTCAATTTGTTGGCATATAATCGTTCGTAGTAATTTCTTATGGTCCTCTGCATTTCTATTGTATCAATTGTAATGTCTCCCTCACTTTTTGTTTTATTTGAGTCTCTTTTCTTTTTTTCTTAGTCTAGTTAAAGGTTTCTCACTTTTGTTCATCTTTACAAAAAGTCTTAGTTTCTTTACAACTCTTTGTTTCACTTATCTTATCTACTGTTCTTCTAGGTACTATTTCATTTGTTTCTGCCCTTATCTTTAGTTTTTTCTTTCTTCTTCTGGCCTTGGACTTAGTTTGATGCTTTTGTTCTAGTTCCTGAGGTATAAAGTTAGATTGTTCATTTGAGATCTTTCTTTTTTCTTAATATAGGCATTTAGTGCTATAAACTTTCTTCTGAGAACTGCTTCACAAACCCTTCACAAGTCTACTTGGTAAATTTTAGTCCTTCTAGAGAGAAATTAGACTATATATCCAAGTTATTGAATTTCCTTCTGATATTCAGTCAAGAAAAAAATATAGATTTGTTAAGAAACATGTTGAATATTACTACTGAATGTAATATAACCTCCCAATGTTGGCTTTCATTCTTGAATTGCAGTAAAGCCATATAAATATGTAGTTCTTTAGCCAAAAATTAACATTTTTAATTTCATCAGTGGTGCATATTTTGTTCATAAGCTGAGTTTGCTTCTGGTTGGAGATCTCAATAGGCACACTTGCATCAGTTGCTAAAAATGATCACATTAGAAAGCTGCATACAAATAACTATGACAGTGTATAATATTGAACATAATAATTATTCTGTATTATTTTTGTATACTTGAGTAACCTGAAGACTATTTTTAAAACTCCACTAATTTTATTTGGGATCAAAGATAGAGAATTTGGCCCTTTAAAAAAAAAAAATGTGTTCCTTCATCTTTCAAAGTTTGCAATTTTATGTTCTAAGTATATGAGGGTACTTCAAAAAGTTTATGGGAAAATAGAATTAAAAGGTAATATGAATCTTTCTGTGAACTTTCTGAAGTACCCTCATAAGTGTAAAGGTACAGCAACATGGGAATGTAGTACCACTGAATAATTTGGGATTATTTAAGCTTTCTAATTTTTCTTTCACAGTGACTTCATTTCTGAGGTTTTAGAGAAGCATGTCATCATTCATATCTCAGTACACACAGAAAATATGAAATAATGGGTTTTATGCTATACCAACCTTGTTTATTGTAAGAATTTTTTATACTCAGAGAAAATGGTACATGCTTTAAATAAAACTATAGCTAAGTTGTCTGTGGTGAAGCTCTAGGTATGTTTAAAGTAAATTATGTTAGATAATTTATATATGCTATTTTTAATTCTTGAAGAATTTAAATAAAAGCCTATACCGTATGAAAATGAAAACTTGTAAATTGGATTGGAAAGGTATAGAACTGGTGTAAAAATGCTTTATCAGAGTATAAGTAATTTTTTAAAAAACCCTTCCCCTCATGTTGTTAAAAACAAAATAAAACAAAAAGATCTGTTGGGTTGGAGTGGCTCTAAACTTGGAACAGGAGCTTATATGCCCTGCGATCTTTAGCAAGAAACTTCATTATTCAGGTGTTGCTTGTACTCCTAGAAAACAAGCTAGTTGAACTAAACAATCTCCAATGGGTCT